TTTTCTTTTTAGTTCATTTCAGGGGTACAGATTTTTCCAAGGGTCTTTATTCTTGCTCTGCAGCTTTGGGAATACCCACCTCTGATTTCTGTTTTAAAATGGAGTTTTCTTGCACTCTCTCAAAGTGCTCCCCGTACAGCAAATTTTAGTTTTGAGTTTCAAGTTAAAACTGACAACTCTAATTGTTATCTTCTCTTGCTATCCCTTTTTACTAGAACTGTGTCTTCAGTCAAGAGTGCACTTTCTTAGCTTGAGTTTTAAAACTATTTTCTGATAATGATTAATACTTGTAGAAATTAATTGTAAAGTGCTTCTTTTATATGTCAGAAGTTTTTTTTTTCTCTCCATTTTAGTGTAATATAAAAGGAGGCCATAGTCTGCAAAACCGGGAGAAACGTTTTAAGAAGTTTATTTCAGATAATCCAGGACCGGCAAGCTATGATCAGTCTTATCCTAGAACACAAGATATCATGAACAGAAAAGTATTAGAGGCCAAAGAGCATCTTCAGTCAGTACGTTGCTATTTTAAATTATACTTGTAATGACATTTTTTTAGTTAAAATAGTAAAGGTTTAATATATTTTATGTGATGTTAGGTACATTTCAAAAGCCTTCCTATAAAAATTAGATTTGTTAGTGTTTATATTTTAGTTATTTTATGGGTACATAAACTTTAGTTTTTAACTGTATTCATATCTGACTTCATTTTTTGCTCCTGGTAAATCTATAATCACTTGTAATATCTCTGGTGAATAAAAAGTAAGGGAGATTTTACAAACTACCTTAGTGATTTACCTATATATAGTGAAAAGCCTGTGTTAAGTACTGTTGATAATATATGACTTCCTGCTGGCAAGGAAGGAAAAGAAATATAAATAATACAAGTTAAACATATGATCCCTGAAGTAAAAAATCTTAAAATGTAGATGGGAGATAAACAAATAGATAGCTGTTAATTCAAGACAAAATGTGACAGTTGCTAAATGAATGATCATGTAGCGAAATGCCATAGGAATTTAAAGGAGCACTACTGTATTATGAAGGCGTAATTTATGGAAGATTTATAGAAGGGGTGGGTCTTTACATTGGCATTGAAGAATAGAGTTGGAATATACATTCTAAA